TGTATTTTTATTAAGCTATAAATAATATCCAAATATTTACTTAGTAACAGTTAGACTTATTAAGTTGTGATCGGTTGATAAATTGTCATTTTACTTAATTTCATTTAGGTGACTGGATTTAATTAATGAATGAACATGTATATATGTAAATTATACGGAAGAGACTAAATGTATTAGTTTCCATAAATCTACAGATTTCGATATTCTATTTTGCAAGTCATATTGTCTGTCCTTAGTATATGGTGGTAATGCTTATAGTGATATCCGTTTTACAAAAAATAGGGGGCCTCATACAGAGATTCGGCAGAACTATGTTGAAAACGATTATCTATTTCTGACAATGAGCTCAATATATGGATGAATTAACATAACTAATGCTACATACTGAAGAATACTCCTAGTTCGATAGGATAACAATTTAATGATATATACGAACTTCAATTAAAACTTCCTCCTATTTCATTTCTTCTACTGTCATAGTAATCAAAACACTTTATTCAATAATCCACTATTTTGAATACTTTTACTGAGGTCCTTCATTTTGACGTTAATTAGACCGGACAATGTTGTCGACGGGCTCACCAATTTAGTGGCCCTGGATCTGACTCTAGTTATATCGCATGAGTGATCGTTGTCAAAATATGCAACCTGGTTATCCTTGTATATAATTATCGACTTAAATCGCTTTACTTTATAACGGAATTAAATAAGTCAAGCACGAGAATGGATGTTTGAATAGATATATTTTGTATATTCGTTGATCACAACAGACAATCAGAGAATCGAAGCGAATGAAGCGAGAAAAAGAGAGGGAAGCAAAACAAAAGGTCGCTCACTGTTGAAGACGTGTAAACCAACTCCATTCAATCAAGCTTTAATTAATATTTATACTCACACAAAAATAAGCTACGGACATTTGGTGAGTATATGAGATGTACACATACGCTCATATAAAAAGTCAAGGTTGATAAGTGAATAATTAACAAGGTCAAAACGTGACTCAAGAAGAATGAATAGATTGACCTGTCCAGAAGCTAGAATAAGTTATATGGGCCTAACATAGTAACTGACACTACATAACATCATGCAATTCTAACATAAATTCATTTTAGATTATAATTACAAGTCTTTCTTATTTGAAGTCGTATAAAAGTTATCTTTCATACTGAAGCAGATTGAGTCAATTTCAGTTTATCTTAAAATGTCCATTGTTTCAGTCAACTTGTTCAACATCCGACTGTTATACAGTGTTACTATGCTTGAGATAATGTTAGGTAGAAATACTGTTTTTTATGCCAATCATAAACAGGATTAATATTGCTTATTCACTACTCTTAATGCTGTATCACGTTAATACTCTTTAATATATTTATTTGTATTGTTTGTATCAATTACTTTATTCATTTAACACTAACTTCATATGACAACATTGTCACTGTTCGAATTATAGATTTTATTCAGACATTGTTTAATCATTCAGTATTAAGTAATTGTGAAAATTCAGTTTAATATTAATAAATAACATACACCACATAGTGTACGTTTACTTCATGATAGAATCATACGAGAACAATCAAATATATTACGTCTTTCTTTTTGAGTTCATCAAAACTCATGAAATACCAGTCAGTCAATCAGTCGTCCATAACGTAGGACTAGGCACATGGAATGTGTTCGAGTTGTGTACAAATAACGTACAATAATGAAGACAAGCAATCTTTTATCTATCTATCTATCTATCTGCCACTGTTCTGACGACAATTGGATTGTATGAAGAGAAAAAAAACGTTTCACATAACTTTGTATTCAACTTTGCATACATTAAATGCATCATGAATAATGATCACAGTTATCTTGAGAGTTGTTCTCTCTTTCTTTATTAAAACAGTGATATATGTACAGTTTTGCTAGCATGAGGTATATCATTGATTCAAACAAACTATTCATGACTTTTTACCCTCAATATGAACAATATTTGTTTTAAAAAAATTGTTCTATCTGTGAATATCATCTTTTACAACTGATCAGCTTAATCACATTTAAGATTAAACAATTTTATATAATGGAATATCTAATGCAAAAGATTTCATCTATATGAATGGATCACGTCAGAGTTACCGAATTCACCCATGGAAAAGAAAAATCGTTTCTCAGTATTATTATGATTTGAGTTGATAATTTTCAAGCTACTGTTCAGCCTACTCTCTTGTTGCTTAATGAAAACTTCTGATTATATTTCACAGATTATTCTATATTTTAAATTATAAGGTCACATAAACAGTATTAAATGAGCGACGTTTGTAATTGCATCTCCTTTTATAATAAACAATAAATTATCTTCTTAAAAACGCCCTGTCTCTTTTCCCTATTCTGTTTAATAGATTGATTCTCGGTTAACAAATTTGTTGTCGTTTATACAGGCCATTTGTCCATGTAGTGTACACGCACGGTTTTCTAGCGCTACTACCTTAAACCAAAACAGGCTAGTGGACCGGAATAGGTGTGAGATATTCAGATGACTTTTTTATCATAGAAATGTAAAAAAAATGTTTTGAAACACGTATAATGATAATATCATGAGGATATTCTGTTTTTGTAAAAATACTTTAGATCTAACATTAAAAAGATAAACATTATTAGCAGTCTTCTGCACACAAGTGGGACTTAATTTAACCTTGTTGCGAAGAAAGTGGATTTCGTCACTTATCGAGGTTAGGTAAAGGACTGTTGAAGATTATTAAGTATTATGGTGTAATTTCGTCCTATTTCGGTACTCAAAAATTTATGTCGTAATGAAGTTTAGAATACAAATTAGTTTAAAATGATACAATATATAAGTATCCATAATATAAAGTTATACAACCAGAAAATCTAGATAACATCAGTATGTCATTTAGATAAGAGAAGTATACTAAGATTGTCAAATATTTCTGACGTAAAGATCTACACGAAAAAAGAGTGTTCGTCTACAGAGCAAAGGAACTTTTCTCACTATCACTAGAGGACGTTTACACTGTGTGAAAAGTGCACTAACATCTATTAGTATCAGTCATTACATGGTTTTTCTACTAAATTACAAAATTACATTTTCCTTGAAGTTCTAGATGGCTATTTGATATCTTTACCTTCTCTAAACTAATAGGTTTATTTGTGAATTTGAATAACTTAATTCAGAAAATCGAGAAAACTTAGTTTTTAGTACCTCCATTTGGACTGATATTGTTTGTTAATTAGAGACAAAATAGTCTATATTTAAATAACCCTTTTTTATTATAGTTCTTTATTAGTATTCAATAGAAACTTTAAGTGTTTCCGGTGATAAATACTTAGTTAGTAAACGACCGATTTCAATTGGTATTTATTGACTATTCTTTTTTCAGTGGTTAAGATCATGAGTCAGTTGAAGCTAGCCCACCATGGAAAACCTGGAAGCACTGGACGGCCGTTTCGTCCTATTGTGGGACTCCTCAGCATTGTGCACCCACGACCTCGCCCCCTGCGAAATTCAGACCCAGGACCTACTGGTTTCGCGCGCGAGCACTTAACCACTAGACCATGGTAGTCTAGCTTCAACTGACTCATGATCTTAACAATTAAAATTACTACAATCTCCACAAAACCCATCTGATATTCTTTTTTATATCAGATATTTCGCAATTAAGGAAAGAAAACAAGATAGAGGAAGTTAGAAACTTTACAGAAAACGTAAACAAGTGATATCTATATTAGGTTATAGTCAGTTCTCTTCTGATCCAGTTCAAATAGTCTAGTTTCACCCATATTTTAGTTCCTGCTATTTTAAAGTATCAGTTCTTTCTGTTCTAACAACAATATTGTTGATCTATAAACATGAAAATATTAAACTATTGTACATCATTTAATTAATGATTAACATTTCGTTTAGATGGATTGAAACAATTCATAATTGATATCATGACCACTACTGAAAATCGCGAGCGAGATCGTGGATACGCACTGCTGAGGAGTCCAGTGCTTCCAGGTTTTCAATGGTGGTCTAACATCAATCGGTTCATAATCTCAATTAAAAACTTAATAATCTCCACAACCCCTATACTGAAATAATTCTCTCATCAGAATTATATTGTTTCATGTTTAAACATTCAATGTCCGGTATACTAAGCAGGCCTATGATCCATGCTAAACACAACTTTGATACCGTCTTGAATGAACATTTTTCGTAGTAAACTACAATCACATCTTATAGTGATGTAGATTCGAATCATGAAACTTCATTTTTATAACACTGATTTTATTTCTAACAATGATCATCAATGTAAATATGTGTTTCGGACTGTACAAAGTAATGTTAACATCTATGGTTAATATAATACATAGAGCGACGTCTTAGCTGTAAAGACAGTTGGCCTTCAACTAATTAGTTCCAAATTTGAACTTCCTACCATATAAATTGGCTCAAGCAGTTTGCAAGTTTAACTGGCCATCACATAAATAAGACGCCTGAAGGCTTGTTAAAAAAACCTAAATCTTATAAACGAGTAATATTACATTCACCAATAAATCACATTGTACTATGAAATGTTGTATATTACTATGGGGTTTTACAATAATTGTTGAACTTCATAGTTCTCATGTCTGACTGATATTAGTTGGTCATTCACTGCAAGGCAGGAAGTATCAAACAGTTGCTTCGTCCTAAAATAAGGTTCCTCAACAATACATAACCACTATCCATTTATCTATATAACCCAGGACATAAAGGTCTTTCAGAGAGAGCCTAATCTGTAGATCATTGAGTCAGCATCCAGTTGTTTAAATGTCTAACTGTACAGTACTTCTTGGTTTTTGACGGTTATACAACTTCGATCATCCGGTGATGTAAACTATGAAGATATTAGTGCTTCATCATGTCATTCGATATAAATGAATAAACTAGTTCACAAAAAGATGGATGATTTGCGTTGAAATAATTTCAAATTTGATTTTTGTTTAAAAAAGATACCCGATATTATGTTACTTACTCTTTCCAACAGACTAATTGTTTTTTCCAATGCACCTTCCGGACGACCAAATGGGAAACAATAACGAAATTCAGTAATTTGTTTTTCTAAAAGTGTTGTCAGTCGAGTTCTAATAATTTGAAATTGATCACGTTCCATTGCTAACACTGTATGTACGGCTTGATCATGTTGACTATTTTTTTTGTTAAAATTAATAAAGGTCCAGAAGAATTAAAATGTAACTATAAATGCTATAATTTCAAAGTTGAGTAATTACAAGTAATTACTAGGATGCTTAACACTTATTCAAACCTTTTAAACTCTGCCCTGGGAGTCAGAAGATCTTCATTTAGAAGAATTATGACGCCTCATGATGTAAGCCGAATCCCTTCGGAAGTTACGAGGCCGATGCCCCTTCTGACAACCAGAGCGACCATTTATTTAGGTACATGGAATGTTCGTACAATGTGGGACACCGGAAGAGCCTTCCAAATTGCTGCAGAAATGAGAAGATACAACCTAGAGGTACTTGGGATCAGTGAAACACATTGGACACAAGTTGGACAACAGCGACTAACTACAGGAGAGCTCCTGTTATACTCCGGCCATGAAGAAGAAAATGCACCACATACACAAGGAGTTGCATTGATGCTGTCCAAACAAGCGCAAAATGCACTTATAGGATGGGAATCTCATGGACCAAGGATCATCAAAGCCTCGTTTAAAACAAAGAAAGAGGGCATTTCAATGAACATCATCCAATGCTATGCGCCTACCAACGACTACAATGAAGACGCTAAAGATCAATTCTACAATAGGCTGCAGTCAATAGTCGAGAAGTGCCCAGCAAAGGACCTGACCATTCTGATGGGAGATTTCAACGCCAAGGTTGGAACGGACAACACTGGATATGAAGACATCATGGGACGACACGGACTGGGAGAAAGAAACGAAAATGGTGAGAGATTTGCAAACCTATGTGCCTTCAATAAGCTGGTCATAAGCGGCACCATATTCCCACATAAACGCATACACAAAACCACATGGACTTCACCGGATCACTCTACACAAAACCAAATCGACCATATTTGCATCAACAAAACGTTCAGGAGGACTATAGAGGACGTGAGAACCAAGAGAGGAGCTGATATAGCATCAGATCATCACTTACTGGTCGCCAAGATGAAATTGAAACTCAAGAAGCACTGGACAACGGGGCAGACAGTATCACAAAAGTTCAATACGGCCTTTCTCCAAGATACTAACAAACTCAACAAATTCAAGATAGTCCTCAGCAACAAGTTCCAGGCCTTTCACGATCTACTCAATGGAGAAGGAACTACTGTAGAGAGCAACTGGAAGGGGATCAAAGAGGCAATCACTTCAATATGTCATGAGGTCCTGGGTCACAAGAAGCACCACCACAAGGAATGGATCACTGTTGGTACACTGGATAAGATTCTAGAAAGAAGGAACAAGAAGGCAGCGATCAATAACAGCCGAACAAGAGCAGAAAAAGCCAAGGCACAAGCTGAATACACGGAAATAAACAAACAAGTGAAGAGGAGCATCAGAACCGACAAACGTAAATATGTGGAAGATTTAGCAATGACGGCGGAAAAGGCTGCAAGAGAAGGAAACATGAGACAACTGTATGACACGACAAAGAAACTCTCTGGAAATCGCCGCAAACCAGAACGACCAGTGAAAAGCAAGGAAGGCAAGGTAATCACCAACATTGAAGAGCAACAAAACAGGTGGGTGGAACACTTCAAAGAACTCTTGAATCGACCAGCTCCACTGAACCCACCCAACATCGAAGCAGCACCCACGGACCTCCCAATCAATGTTGGCTCACCAACAATTGAAGAGATAAGCATGGCCATCAGACAAATCAAGAGTGGCAAAGCAGCAGGACCAGACAACATTCCAGCAGAGGCACTAAAAGCAGACGTAGCGGCAACTGCACGGATACTCCACATTCTCTTCAATAAGATTTGGGATGAGGAACAAGTACCAACAGACTGGAAAGAAGGACTACTGATCAAAATACCGAAGAAAGGCGATCTCAGCAAGTGTGATAACTACAGGGGCATCACTCTTCTCTCAATACCGGGAAAAGTCTTCAACAGGGTATTGTTAAACAGGATGAAGGACTGCGTAGACGCCCAACTTCGTGACCAACAGGCAGGATTCCGTAAGGATAGATCGTGTACAGACCAAATCGCAACTCTACGGATAATTGTGGAACAATCAATTGAATGGAATTCATCACTCTACATCAACTTCATTGACTACGAAAAGGCATTTGATAGCGTGGACAGAACAACACTATGGAAACTTCTTCGACACTACGGCGTTCCCCAGAAGATAGTCAATATCATACAGAACTCATATGATGGATTACACTGCAAAATCGTGCATGGAGGACAGTTGACAAAGTCGTTCAAAGTGAATACCGGTGTTAGGCAAGGTTGCTTACTCTCACCCTTTCTCTTTCTCCTGGTGATCGACTGGATCATGAAAACGTCAACGTCTGAAGGAAAGTGCGGGATACAATGGACATCTAAGATGCAGTTGGATGATCTAGACTTCGCAGACGACCTGGCCCTTCTATCCCAAACGCAACAACAGATGCAGGAGAAGACGAACAGTGTGGCAGCAGCCTCAGCAGCAGTAGGTCTCAATATACACAAAGGGAAAAGCAGGATTCTCCGATACAACACAGAATGCACCAATCCAATCAAAATTGACGGAGAAGATTTGGAAGATGTAAAAACCTTTAAGTATTTGGGCAGCATCATTGATGAACAGGGTGGATCTGATGCAGATGTGAAGGCGCGGATCGGCAAAGCAAGAGCAGCATATTTACAACTGAGGAACATCTGGAGCTCAAAGCAACTGTCAACCAACACCAAGGTCAGGATTTTCAATACAAATGTCAAGACAGTTCTACTGTATGGGGCAGAAACCTGGAGAACTACGAAAGCCATCATCCAGAAAATACAGGTGTTTATTAACAATTGTCTACGCAAAATACTTCAGATCCATTGGCCGGACACTATTAGCAACAACGTACTGTGGGAGAGAACAAACCAGATCCCAGTGGAGGAAGAAATCAGGAAGAAGCGCTGGAAGTGGATAGGACACACATTGAGGAAAGCACCCAACTGTGTCACAAGACAAGCCCTCACATGGAATCCTGAAGGTCAAAGGAAAAGAGGAAGACCAAAGAACACATTACGCCGGGAAATGGAGATAGACATGAGAAAAATGAACAAGAATTGGATGGAACTAGAAAAGAAGGCCCAGGACAGAGTGGGTTGTAGAATGCTGGTTGGCAGCCTATGCTCCATTGGGAGTAACAGGCGTAAGTAAGTAAGTAAGTTAACACTTATGGTCAATGTATTTTTAAAAGATACGTATACTTTGTATGGGACTAAGAGGAGAGTGATTCAAGTATGAAATTAAACGAGCAGCGTTTTGCAATATATATATTTATTCATTATTTAGTTCTTGGGTAAGTCATTAAATGACCTCCAAGCAAAAGCTTGATGTACGGATCAATTATATTATGGTAGACACTATTCACAAGATCGTTTGTTAGTAGAATATAACGGGGCATTGTGTCGAAGTTCCAACAGTTGTCATACGGAGTGAAGAGTTTTAATGCATCGAAGGCACAACGAAGACAGAACACCTGGAGAGCAGACGAAGAGATCCAAATGAATGATTGAATGTTATGTGGACGCTTTGTAACTTCGCACGATAAATATAGATTCCTTCTGGCAATCGCCTTCTTTTACAATATTACAGTATCTAACATTGCTTTGGTTATTAATCTCGAATTACCTATCAATATGTGATAGGATTAATTAATACATTGGATACCAGTCAGTTCAACATTTGGAAATGCTGTCAAATGTTGTCAGTCAAATTTCTAAACTCATATTCTGCATACTGTAGGAAAATTATTTTCCTTACATTTAGATGTTACATTTTACTATCAATTTGTACCGACAAAGGTGTAAACAAACAATAAGAATTTTTTTGAACAAAAATCCATCATTTGCAGTATTACTGCATTTATGTGAAAGGTGGATATCCTCGAAGAGTAAATAATCCACCATCATTTGATCCTCGAGAGTTAATCAAAACAAAACTTGGATTTTTACCAATAGAAGGATTTCAGTAATCAAGAAATTATATAACGGTAAAAGCCAAAACTCTTAAACTTTATAACGACAAAAATGGGTGAGACTATAACTTATGGACGACTTTTGAATGACGATAAAGTGACCTTGAGAAATATCCACCTTCTAGCTAGGATTAAAAGAAAGGTTAGAATTTAGAGTTAGAAGTTAGGGCTAGGAATTGAAGTCAGGGTTTTCATCAAGAACTAACAACAGCTATAATACCAAAATGCTATCTAATCATATGAAAGAAATGAAGGTTTGCACTGAAATCTAAAACGTGCTTTCTTTAATTTCATTAGTTCGCCCATAACATATAGTCTCGCCAAATATATGATCAATTTTATCGGCATAGAAAAATCAGCTTTTTATTGATTTGGTATGCAGCTGTGAAATGTAAAAAAAGAGACTGGATGGTATATCTATTTTCCAAAAGTTCACAGAAATTGGAAAACTTCGCTGACTGAAGGGAAGAAATGTTTCAATAAATTACTATCAGGTAGAAATAAACTGATCACGAAAAATCATACTGTGTATAAGTCCGAATCATCTGTGAAATAGTTATTCGGCTTAACTAAGCACCCATAAATTCAGACCAAAACATGAAGAAAGAATAACATATATACTTTCTTCTCAGCTTGGAAACGTATAGTAGCTTTGTCGCACAAATATACTAGATATCGAACTTAAAACTTTAGGATATCGGTACAAACAGGATACCATTTAGTCTGACTGCATGAAAATCTTGATTCCACTTGGTTGGCTATGATGAAGGTTTTCATCAATACTAAATCCCATTGAAAGGTTAGTGTCATTTCGAATAAAATGGATGATGGCTCTCATACTTCCGGAGTGTTAGTAGTTTACATAAATCGCTAATCTTCAGGCACCATAAATGTAAACTGTCACTGAAATAAACTGTGAAAACGCTTATCCTAAATCTATATGTTAAATTCATTCTCTAACTCTGACAAAGTGTACAAAAACAACCATAGGATTAACTTACGCTTTACCGCTAACATGATTAGCACATAAGGAATAACTGATATGAATTAAATCTGGATCTATACTCATACCATTTTCAATTTTATTTAATAAATTAATTAACATTGCTAAGTGACGTTGACATTCACGTATACCATAACGTGTACAATATTCATCTAATAAATATCGTTGAGTTGGACTTAAACAGCCAAGTGAAACAAATGGATCCTTAGAAAACAAATGCCAAAGAAGAAATGGATTATAATTGTATTTGTGAGTACGTTATTGCGTAAGTAAATCATTAAAACAATGCACTTTTTATAGGGTGTTGTGAAAGTAGTTGGGTTTTACTATTCACATCACGGACTGATCCTAATTAAACAGCTATTGAAAACCAGGAAGCGATCGGGCACTCTTCTATACTAGAATGAGGCTCTTCAGTAGTAAACACCCATGACCCAATCAGAGATCGAAACCAGTGCCTTCAAGTTACTCGGTGAGCTGGTGAAGATATGTATATCAGGTAGATGATATTGATGAAGTTTTTTCCTCTGAGCTGGATGGTTTAATCGTGGAGCTTTCATCTTTCTTCTGAACAACATCATCAGAAATTTATATTCGGTGAACGTTTAACATTTATATCACCAAACTAGGATCTAATAGCTTACACTTCTGACGAAAATCAGTTCACGTTATTGCATGATCATCATCCTGGTTTTCAGTGGTTATCTTACCAAGATCCATTCGTGATGTAGACCATGAAATTCAACGATAGACTTTCTTGAAACATGAAGCCATCAAAGCTTACTTAGGCAACTGATCATAGACAAAATTATTAGAACAATATAATTTTGCGTTTATGGAATAATTTTTAAAAGCTTCACTTCTGTTTAAAGTGACTTTGTAACTTTATTCAAAACAACAATGTAGACCTCCCAACGATTCAACTAGCATAGCTTAATATAAAAAGCAGCATACATATATTTTGTTCTAATTGTTCTCTATCATTTAACAAAGTATTCATAGCTAAACATTTTATGTTAATATTAGTAGGAATAATAGAATAGATTCAATCACTATAGTGTAACATTTCAGGTATATATTAGTTGCCTTAATATTTTTAATACTACGTCATTGTCATTGTATTTAAAGAAGAAAGTACATCTTCTAGTAGAGAATTCTAATTCATTCATTAACTGACTATTGTACTAATGATTACTAAAGACAGTATATGTAATTCTAAATAAAAATGAACAAAACACACATTAACGAGGATATCCTGTATGGTATTTGAATAATTAATGAAAAGAAATTATCTATTATAATGTTAGTTCAATCAAACTGTACATGATTATTATAAGCTACTCATGAAAACATAAAGTAGTTTCCCAGGTTTTTAAATATGACATACAATATTGTTGAGTTTTCGACGTTGAAGCATATGTGAAGGTGTTATTTTAAAAGTAACCACTTCATTTATAACTGCAGTTAAACTGTATTTACTTGATTTAACTTTATGTTTCCGTGATTAGCGCATTATTCTTCTTATCTTCATATATCGTTTTGTTCTCCTTCTTATTCATGTGTTTACATCATTTGGATTTGGTTTTCTACATGTGTTTTGCCGAAATTCCCTCTTTTTACTGGTCAACTTAATAAGTTATGATTGCATAAGATTAAACGTAATTCATGTATCAAAGTGTCACTTAAATCTTCTGTGAATGAAACCAAAGTGAAGTCACTGACGAGATGTTGGAATCAGTCGCTGTAAAGCACTAAATCTACCAGCAAGGGGTTTTGTGGAGATTTCAGAAATTTCACTGTTTAAAATCATGAGTCAACTGAAGCTGGACCACCATGGAAAACCTGGAAACACTGGACAGCCGTTTCGTGGTTGAGCGCTCGCGCGCGAGACTGATAGGTCCTGGGTTTGAATCTCCCGGGGGGAGGGATCGTGGGTGCGCACTGCTGGGGAGCCCCATACTATGACGAGACAGCCTTTCAGTGCTTCCAGGTTTTCCATGGTGGTCAAGATTCAAGTGACTCATGATTTCAACCAGTGAAATCACTAAATCTACATTCTATATTCACTGAAGTTTGTAAAATACTGTCCATCTGTTAGTAGTGGGTAAAACTCTGGAATCTAGATTGAAAACAAGTGAATTTACCTAGAAGTGCCAACAATTAGCAATACATCATTATCTTAGTTAGTGGAGACAGTGTTATTAGGTTTATGTTAAATTTCCATCACTATCCAACATGATTTTAAATTTTTCAATTTAATAAACTATTGATACAGAACGTTTATTCAGAAAATTTCTTTCACATGTATAGAAAGAAGAATCATTGGATCAAAAAGCCGCACTTAACATTATGCAGTACAAATACCTACTTAGTTTGAGCTATTCCAGAATATAGGCTTACTCAAGTTTATCTCATTAATTTCCTTTCAGTCAAAAGTATACAATAAGTGTGAAAATAAACAATATAACCAGTTATTACATTACTTATTATCTCTATCAGTTGAGTTACTTGATTCCATACTTTGACTAAGATAATTAGATTCAACATTAAAATAATGTTCAATAATTAATCACATTTTATGTAATATGAATTATTTAGTTGGAAGATCTACCAAATAACACTGAAACAGTAAAGTTTGTTAGAGGCATCATCATTGGTTCCTTTCAAAAAATTACTAATAATCATCATCTCCAAAGGATATAACAATAAATTTAGAAATTTTCACAGATTGAACTCATGAGTCAGTTGAAGCTAGACCACCATTGAAAACCTGGGAGCACTGGACGGCCGTTTCGTCCTAGTATGGGACTCCTCAGCAGTGCGCACCCACGACCCCGCACCACCTAAGGCTCGAACCCGAGACCTACTGGCTTCGCGCGCGAGCACTTAACCATTAGACCACTGAGCCGGCATCCAACGGTGTTAATGTCTAACTTCAACCAATCCACGAAGTTGCGCTACCGTACACCATTGTCTTCAGTGAGTTCCTATCTCACAACAGACCCGGGGTCGTGGATGCGCACTGCTGAGGAGTCCCATACTAGGACGAAACGGCCGTCCAGTGCTTCCAGGTTTTCAATGGTGGTCTAGCTTTAATTGACTCATGAGTTCAATCTGTGAAAATTTCTAAAAATCTCCACAAAACACATTCTGATAATAATAAATTTAGAATAAAATATGAATACATTTTTGTATTGGTTGTTTGAATCTTCCTATTGATGTTAAAGAGTGCAATTGATCAATCTCTTATTGGTATATGTGCATCCTGTGAGAATCGGTTCGATATTATTTTAAATCACAAGTATGCTGAGTAGAAATCGATAGATGGTAGCTAGCAGTGTAATCCAAATGCATCCAGCTGACGAGTTTCATATGGGAAGAAACACATTTCCTAGATTCCATTACTAGCTACCATTTAATCTCCTCTTATAAAATGTAATTAATTAAAAATAGATTTATACTATATTGTAATCTCGTGAAATGTGTTTCAGTTTTATTTTTTTAAAAATACTTACAGTTAACCGATAATCTAAACTTGATGATTGTAAAATAATGAAATATTCCAAGTGATCAAGGGTATGTATAGGTATTGAAGCGAATCGATCAATTGTTTTATTTTGACCAGTTTCAATATCAACAGTACCTTTTTGTTGAAAATGAAAATGTTGGAAAATGGCATTATGTAAGAAATCAAATGTTAATTGACAAATCTAAATGATTATTTAGTTAGGAAACAATTAAATGTTAGATGGTGGTTGGAGGTAGTCTACAGCAAACCCTGGACCGGGGTTTCGTGCTACCTTGCACTCGTCAGCAAGGTGTACCTGTAATCTTGAGGAAACTAGTGCTCCCTGGCGAATTCGATCTCGCATCACCCAGCTTAACAGTCAGAGACGTTACCACTGAGCTATCCGAGCCACGATCGACCTCCTATAGGACTGAGATGTAATCACAATTGACTGATCACTGGGTGGTGATCAGTGTCATGTGTGTAGCAGTAGCAGTGTCGAGTCACCTAGGCTGGTGGCCACATAGCATTCGATCTGCACTAATAAGGACTAGACACGCATAACATTGATCACCACCTAATGATCAATCACTTGTGATTACAATTAAATGTTTTCAAACATTTTCATAGTTGACTTTATCCACTATTAATTATTAGTTAGTTTAATGTTGTCTAGATTATAGACCCAGTGGAAATCTACTGATTAATTGACAATGTACTTAATGGTCTAAGTGACTTAAAAATATGGTCCATCATTTTACGGTGCAAGGTTAGAAGCAATAGAGATGAAATCTCAAGTCTCGATTTTTGTGTTATTAAGCAAATGTGAAGTAAGTTCAAATTCTAATCAGTTATTCAGTTATCCCGAGATTGAGGACACACTTCTGAAAATAGTGCTATTTCCCACGATATCTAGATCTTGTGAGTTTTCCTAATAAACTATGACCACCTCACATTAAGGGTCTGTACATCCAAGGCCTAGTCATCTAAAATGGTAGCTAGTGAAAATCAGACAAAGGTAACACCTCAGACGTTCTAGAAATGCTATAGCAGCTTATTCTGATAGTCTTGTCTGGAGTTTCTAGTATATATAGGTCATTTTTAAGTCGTTTTTTGTGATTGACTGGCCTTTTCCGTATGGATTAATAGATAGGATCTATGTCAACGTGTTTATAAATTGTGAACTCAATTGATTACTATGCTTCTAAAAATTATCTGAATGTAGGCATTAATACTGCTAAAGACAAAAGTAATGCATCCATAATTTAAATCATCTAGTTCACAAAACACTCAGCCAACAGTATCTGTTCAAACCATTACTATTCTCCATTATTTTAATAGTGACCAGTTTTGGTAATCTTTCAATAAATTCATAAAAGCGTTCATAAGTTATACATATGTTCCATCTAACTGAATCAATGTGATGATACACGCTAATGAACTTGGCTTACTTTTCTTTTGATCACTGATAATGGCTGAGACATTTGATGCTCCTGGTAATGTAGGTTTGTGTGTCTGACCGGTCGCTCGATAAAGAGCTTGTATCCAATTCTGACGATCTACTTCAGCAGAAGATGCTATAATTATTGTGTCACCTTCTCGGACAAGTTTGAAGAAAAACCTTGGCGAATAATCACATTCTAATCCACCGAGAGGATTACTGCCTACATGTCGTTGACTAGTTATTCTTCCCAATGTACTGAGTCTTAACCTTGATAAGGATGTTAAAGATGTGGTTGATCCATGGTGTTCAGGTTTATTGTTTCTGCCAAACGCAGCCATATTCATCAAATCTGTCGTTAACAAAAATAAACGAGATTTTAATGTCTATGAATGTATTCAGTGGATAATACAAATAGATAAGTGGCAGTTATACATGATATAATTCTGAAGTAGCTAGGAGAAAGGTAATCATTAATGAAGACCCTAGATTATTGCTGTATAGTGGGTTTACTGTGAAACTCATGCCTCAAAAATTCTTGGCTAACTTTTAACTAATATCTCTTTTACACACTGAATAATTAACCAACCACTTATCGCTTCATATAATTGTAGGGAAATAATATATCTATAGTATTCACTGAAAGCTATAAATACGTTACTGACAAATCAGTACATAAGCAATATTTTTTATTCTATTCTGTTTGTAACATTCGAAACACATCAGCTCTATGTAGTGTGCGTGTTTTTATTCGACAGCTCAAACGAAAATTCAGTACAAATGGAACAAAATACACAAGTTGGATGTATAATACAAATATTTCGGGATAAAATGCAGACATTGCTTTGATCGCGTAATTCATGTTGCAGTAATGACGAAACAGTTCTGATGAAATAATTTCAATGTTAAAGTTTAGTATAATGTGTCATGAAGAAATGCCATTTAAGATACGAATCAATCAGTAAGTAAGTAACAACATAGAACTTGGTTTCCGCACCCAATTAACACAACGATATGAAATTGTTATAGCAAATTCCAGAATATTAGGGATAGTAACAGTATTAGTGTTCAAATAAAAGATTAGGCATCAAATATAAGATTCAAATAAATACAAATTCTTGAAATAAAAAAATATGAGGAATTCAGATGTTTGGAATCTGAGAGAAGACAATTAATGAATGCATCTGCTCCATTACAAACGATGTAGAGCCATTTCGTTTTAAGTATTGAACAACTGGTTTCAACAATCACAGGGATATCAACCAGATAGTTTACACATGTTAACATAGCTCAGTCCAATGGTCAATGAATTCATGAAATAGTTCAATGTTTGGTTTGGCCGCCCCTAACTATCTTCTAGCCTGTTACCATACTGAATAACTAGCTTCTGGGACTTAACAGGTTTTGATACGAACTAGCTGCTTAATTATCCTTTATTAAATATAACATACAAACTGTAAAGATGAATTATATGTGAACTTATTTTGTGGTTGTAAAAGAACATTGATCATCATATTGCCTGTTTAATGAATACATAGCTTAACTATCGTTTTCCTACCAATAAAGTATAAAAATACTTCTGCTAAATGTAAATTGACAAAACAGATGTTATACTTCACACCATTTGTAGCGTGTAATATTTGGTTGTTTCTCTTTAATAAACATCTATTTCAAATGAATAAACTTAAGTGGATAATAACTCATGATACAATAAAGTAGCTATCGTGTGTAAACAGAATTCTTTTTGTTATATACAACTACATTTTTAAGAGGAGACTGATAAATTGCAGTACTAAATAACAATGGGAAGATACAAGTAAACAACACTAAGTGAATATAATTTCAGCCCATTGCACAAGCAGGTGGCTATCAGAACTTAGTAGCTGAGTGGATAATATGATGGGGTTTGAAGCGAGTGTTACTGGGTTCGAGTCCCGGAGTGAACATCCACTCTGAGATGCAGGTACATCTAGCTGATGTGTCCCGAACAGGACGAAACGCGCCTCCTGGATTCCACTACTAGCTTCTATCCATCTTTACTTATAAAACTATATTTTTAGTTGAGAAAATTCTATTTTCATATAGTTTCCTGAAATCAGAATAAAATATGGTATCAGGTAATGAAGTTACTGACTGTAAGATAGATTCATGTTGTTCGGTGCAAACAATCTAGTTGAGGTTTACGAAATAAATTCAATCATTAGTAGAAGTTGAGTGATATGACTTAGAATCAGTCATTGTGGTCCAAATGGATTCACTCTTTGTTCATCTTTAGATGTGTAGCTTAAAAAATATACATATATTTTGTTCGACAAATTCACCCTTTGTTGATGAATCATGTTTTATTACAACTGATGCTGTTACGACTTCGACTCCTAAAGCATTTATCTTCGTAATTCAGTCTTGTGCTGATGTCGTGTAGCAAACTTGAATTCATACACATAACTGAATGAGTGTAATTTCATGATAACACCAAAGATGATTCGTCAAGAATCATAAAAACTAAACTGTTTATAATCGAATCAGTTTATCTGATATATATATATATATATATATATATATATATATGTATTTGAGTTTGGTTGACCAGGGTTAAGCTTATTGGCGTCTTAGTGATATGTATGGTTGAAAGAAATCGGAATACAAGAACTAAAGTAGAAAGTTTTATTCAAACTGAACTCTTGATAATTAATTACTGAAGCTATGACACAGCTGAAATCTCAAGCTATCAACAGCTAATATTAAATATCAGATCTTAAATTCGTGTCACTGCTAATTGTGACAACGAACCACGGGTGAATTCGAGGAAGCTGTAGGAGGCTCAGAAGGATCCGAAAATATTCCGTCCAATCACCTTTGGAAGAATGTTCTAGAATTCCCACGTGTAGCTTCCCGATTGTACAATGCTAATAGCCCCCTGTATACTGATTCGTGGGCTGTAATGATGATTTTGGTCTTACTAAAAACTATAAATACCTGACAATTTTGTACTATAATTGACACTGTCTGGGAATACTATTCCTTTCATTAGTCTTCTGTCTTTTCATTGCGACTAGGAAAGATTTTGGCGTTCTAGTGCTCACGTTATACGCCATATATCAAGAACAACCTTCTAGATATAACACTAATTATTGTAAATCGTCTTCATTACTAAATACTCGTACAACCATTATGTTCACTGAATCATAAACAAACTTTTTTGTTACTGTTCACTCTGCTAGACTAGATGGTGGTTGGAGATAGTCTACAGGAAACCCTGGACCGGGGTTTCGTGCTACTTGGCACTCGTCAGCAAGGTGTACCTGTAATGTTGAGGGAACTGGTGCTGCCTGACCGATTCGATCCCGTGTCACCCAGCTTCACAGTCAGAGACGTTACCACTGAGCTATCCGTGTGGCGACCGACCTCCTGTACGACTGACATGTAATCACAATTGATTGATCACTTGGTGGTGATCAACTTTATATGTGTCAAGTTCTTATTTAGTGCAGATCAAATGCTATCGATCATGTTGCAATAAGGACTTGACACACATGACATTGATCAACACCCAATGATCAATCAATTGTGACTCTTCTAGACTGCTCGTAAATGTTTATCTGAACGCTATTCTATCAATGAACTTACCTTCAAGTTGTGCATAAACCTACTAGACATTACATTACTTAACAATGACTTATTCTTGTGAAAATTTACTTTGAAAAGACAACAAATTCATTGACTACAGTTTATTATTATTATAAAATTGTAAAATGAATAAAATTCACACAAAAAAATGGTTTTTTTTTCTGTTACCTGTTCTTGGTTCACAATAGTCTACAGTAAATCCATCTAATACAACTGATTCTGATGGTTGAGATTTCTGTTCAGCAAATGCTGCCAATATTGATGTGTATTGTGATATCTTGAATGTTTCATAAAGTGGAAAAGTAATTTTATGGATAAAAAAAAATTGTGAATAAAAATTAGATTCGAAAATTAATAAAATTTTATTTTTATAAAGAAAAAAATCAATGTTTTTTTTATTAATCTATAGGCATTTTGCACTATTCCGTTACACGAATTATCCAAATTAGAAATCAACATTTTAAGCTATTCATCTTTAATCTATACTACTATATGCTGTAAATAATCTTATTGGACAATTTTTTCAGCTGTTGAACCAGTCAGCATAAACCCTTAACTCATTTCTCTATTTGAAATTTCGGCGAGACTCTAATTTATGGACGACCTTTGAACAAATCTTAAATAACCTTGAGAAATATTAACCAATCAGCACACAGTTAGTATAGGATAAAAATATGTTATACAAAACCAAGAAAATAAAGTGGATACACTTCTTATACATGGTTCAAAAACTTTTTAACGTTAAAAAGAGGTTCACAGGTTCTAAAATCTTAATGCATGCAGTAGAGGAAATCATCCATAGGTCTACAGAATAGTCGGCCTCTGGAGCCATGATAAAGTCTCAAAAACTCTTTCAGCCTCGACCACATAGCTTCAATATTGTTTATGTGCACTCCGGTTGTTGAGTGCACAAAATGCTACTTTCGGATAACGACACGATGCATATAACCAAGCCTATGTAGGAGTCTGTACGCTCTCCAAACATCCGTATATATTGTAATACCTGACTGCAGCAAGTGTTACTGGTGCTTTTATTATCCAGTTCGCAATAATTGTCGTAATTCGCCTTAGTTAGGAATTATATATGGGGTTTTCATCACGAACTGACATCAGCTATAATGCCAGAAATTTATTTAGCCAAATGAATGAAAGGCTTTCGCGTTAAAATCTGAGATCTATTATCTTATACCTGATTGATTCGTCCACAAATCATAGTCTCGCCGTTTTATTTGTTATAGCCGCTCAATTATCAAGTTTTGTACAAAATTCCCTGTGAACCAATCGTACGTTAGCATTAAGCACTGAGGTTGACGCCGTAAACTTGAAACCACTAAAACGCCTCTGATTGGCTCGTCCATAAATTAGAGTCTCGCCGAAATTTCTACTTAATTAAAAACATTTGTTAAGTCATGGTTTTACCCACTAATAGATCTTCACAATCCTAAGTCATGTGTAACGCCAATGTCAATATGTTCTTATTATCTAGTATGATAGAACACTCAATTATATTATATACATATATTCAAAACTATAAAGAGAGATACACATTCTTTTACAGTATCGTTTATTTCTTTTCAACATTCGAATCAATCATCAATACAAGCAATTATACATTTAAAACTATTATACTACTGTCATTAAAAATAGCAGTTAGAATGAATGGGAACAATAATTTATCGAATTTAATATCCAATGTACATGATGCCAATCAAATCTAATCATAATTATGTTGATTACAAAACTCTTTATAAATATATTTGTTTATTTAATACTTTAGGTATGATCTAAAAATGAGACATCAATATACATCATTATCAGTCATGACATAAATCTCTACCATATACATTTAAACAGATATCTACTGTTAAGTAACAGCTCATATATATCTACATATATACCAATAATTGGGTTGATAGAACAAAAGATGTGTATTCTCATACCATTAGGAAAAAAATCACTAGTTTTCATGCATTTATTTTCATTCATCATTGCTGTTTATCGTCCCCAATAATACGAGTTAACTAGATTAGTTTTACTAAATATGGAAGATAGTTATTTTTAATTACTGTCTGTCAATAAGACGAGGCATAAGTAATTATTAGTATTAAGGCAACTTGTGCAAGGTATAAGGTAGTATGCTTAGTTTAGTTATTCCGAGATTCTTTTTAAAGGCATACATATGAAGTCTGGAAAAGTATATCATGATCATGGGACAGGCAATTTTATTCGGTGAAATTATAGGAAAAGTTATTTTTGGAAATCTGTATAACAAAATAACTCACAAGTAACTATATTTCATAATTCTATTGGTCAGTAAATCTGTCCAGTCATGTTTCAGTAATAATCAGTTGGTAATAAGTTTTCTATAATTTTTCTGTGGAGATGTTCAACCTATGATGATGATGTGCAAAATGTTTCGGTCGAGGTCCTCTGATTAACCGTTATCAATAGGTAGAGAATTTACGCGATACTCTGGGACTCAGTCATGTATTTTGAACTTATCAACATGGCTGATTCGAACAATTAATGACTTTTTAGGTCCCGTGCCCAGTTTTCTTCAAACTTATTCCTACCCCAATCAACATTGCATATCTAAGTAAGAAATATTTCAGCATACGTAATATATCTCAGCCACCTCGATCGATGAGTATTCACTACCTCATCAGCCTGTTCTCCATCATTGTTTAGTTCCTTATACCTAACATACACGCAGCTTATCTATATCTTGTAACTTGATGGCTCATTTTTCAGAGACATAGGAGAATGTAGAAAGAACAGTAGACGTTTAGAGGAATTCATGCTTTGTCTTTTATATAAATTAGGCTTTAGTATGGTTTCACACTTTCTATCTTTGAACTTCATGCCTTCTTTAACAGTCATTTTTTCTGTGTTTCACTTTTACTATCACAGAAATTAAGATCACATCTACTCTTTCTGCTTGTTTTAATAGTCTCCTGTTGGCGTGATAACTCCGCCTGTAGCTCTTCTAGAGTTACTGCCGGTCTCAAGCCCGGGTAAAGGAGGAGGGTTGGGCTTGGGGTTAGCGTCCCCATCCCGTAGAAAACTAACTCGCTAGAAAAAACGCTTACCAGAAAAAATAATTCAAACCATTTGAACTCTGCCCTGGGAGTTAGAAGGTCTTCATTTAGAAGAATTATGACGCTTCATGGTGAAAGCCGAGTTCCTTCGGAAGCCACGAGGCTGATGCCCCATCAAACAACCAGAGCAAACATTTTTGTAGGTACATGGAACGTCCGAACAATGTGGGAGACCTGGAAGACCAGTCAAATAACAACGGAAATGAGGAGATACAATTTGGCAGTACTGGAAATCAGCGAAACCCACTGGACCAAAGCTGGACAGAAAAGGCAAGCTACGGGAGAGATGCTGCTAAACTCCGGCCACGAAGAGGAAAATGCTCTACACACTCAGGGAGTTGCTCTAATGCTGTCCAAAGTAGCACGAAATGCACTTGTAGGATGGAAATCTCACGGATCCAGAATCATCAAAGCATCATTCAAAACAGAGGAGGAAATCACAACGAATGTTACAAAATGTTATGCACCCACCAATGATAGCAACAACGACATTAAAGATCAATTCTATGAGAGGCTGCAATCAATCATAGAGCAGTGCCCAAGAAAGGACCTCACTATTCTGATGGGAGATCTAAACGCCAAAGTCGGAATAGACAACACCAGATATGAAGATATCATGGGACGACATGTACTGGGAGAGAGAAACAAAAATGGTGAGAGATTTGCAAATCTATGTACATTCAACAAATTGGTCATAGGCGGAACAGTATTTCCACACAAGCGTATACACAAAGCTGCATAGATCTCACCGAACCACACCACAGAGAACCAGATAGATCATATTTGCATCAATAAAGTTCCGAAGGACAATGGAAGATGTGAGAACCAGGAGAGGAGCTGACATAGCTTCAGATCACCACCTAGTTGTGGCCAATTTAAAACTGAAGCTAAAGAAGAACTGGACAACTGGACAAACAGCATTACAAAGGTTCAATACAGCCTTCCCTCGAGATACCAACAAAATCAACGAATTCAAGATAGCTCTCAACAACAGGTTCCAAGCCTTACAGGATCTACTGAAGGAAGAAGAAACTACTATGGAGGACAACTGAGAAGGTATCAAAGAAGCATTAACCTCAACGTGTCAAGAGGTTCTGGGCCTCAAGAAGCATCATCATAAGAAATGGATCACTGTAGGAACACTGGACAGGATCAAAGAAAGGAAGAACGAGAAGACGGCAATTAACAACGGCCGAACACGAGCAGAGAAAGTCCAAGTACAAGCTGAGTATATAGAAGCAAACAAGCAATTGAAGAAGAGCATTAGGGCCGACAAGCAGAAATACGTGGAAGAACTAGCAACGACGGCGGAAAAAGCTGCTATAGAAGGAAATATGAAACAGTTTTACGACACAATAAAGAAACTATCAGGGAAATATAGTAAACCAGAGAGGCCGATCAAAGACAAAGAAGGCAAGCCAATCACCGAAATTCAACAACAGCGTAACAGATGGGTAGAATACTTCGAAGAGCTCTTTCTTCTGGTGGTCGACTGGATTATGAAGACCTCGACATCTGAAGGAAAACACGGAATACAATGGACAGCTCAGAACCAATTAGACGATTTGGACTTCGCAGATGACCTAGCCCTCCTATCACGTACACACGAACAGATGCAGATGAAGACAGCCAGTGTAGCAGCAGTCTCTGCATCAGTAGGCCTCAGCATACACAAAGGGAAAACTAAGGTCCTCAAATTCAAAGCGGAGAACAGCAATCCAATCACACTTGATGGCGAAACTCTGGAAGATGTAGAGTCCTTCACATATCTGGGAAGCATCATTGATGAACAAGGAGGATCAGGTGCAGACGTAAACGCTAGGATTGGCAAAGCAAGGGCCGCTTTCCTACAATTGAACAACATATGGAACTCAAAACAACATTCAACCAATATCAAAGTGAGAATCTTCAATACCAACGTCAAGGCAGTTCTACTGTATGGAGCTGAAACTTGGAGAACTACAACAACCACAATCAAGAAGGTACAATTATTTATAAATAGCTGTCTTCGCAAGATACTCAACATCCATTGGCTGGATACCATCAGCAACAGCCTTTTGTGGGAGAGAACAAATCAGCTTCCAGCTGAAGAAGAAATAAGGAAAAGACGATGGAGATGGATAGGACATACATTACGCAAACCATCAAACTGCATCACAAGGCAAGCCCTAACTTGGAATCCTGAAGGGAAGCGGAAAAGAGGAAGGCCTAAGAACACATTACGTCGGATAATAGAAGCAGATATGAAAAGGATGAATAACAACTGGAAGGAGCTGGTAAGGATTGCCCAGAACAGGGTTGGATGGAGAATGCTGGTGAGCGGCCCATGCTCTTTCACGAGGAGTAACGGGCGTAAGTAAGTAAGTAAGTAAGTTTCGGTGTGATGGTGTTATGTAACAGTCTGCAACGTTGAACGCTAGTATCACGACTAGCATTAGTATAACTGCCTTAAAACTGTTTTACCAGTATGCCGGATGGATTTTTTCATATTCGTCACTTCATTTCTTTTGTTAATACTGCTATGTTTGAAGCGATTACGAGTTCACCTAGTTTGCGGACGAAACAAAGACTCTGTGACCAATGACCGATAAGCTAGATATTCTGATGCGTCCCAGCCCCGCTAAGTAGAGAGAGAAGTCGAAGTTTAGAACGGGGAAGTATATTCCGCAAGTATCCAGAAGTACGAGCGACAACAACAGACACAAATCAAACGTATGTACATAGCATAAAACTTTCCTTGGGAAGCGTTACAAAATAGCATACTGAAATATACAACGGACCAATACCGTTAAAGTTTCTCACAACTGGGAAATACGACATGAAGGTGAAAAGAGGATTTTTTGCGCGAAAACAAAGATATTTACATTTTTAAAATAAAATTACAAAATAAAAGTATTTACCAAGTGAGTTTTGGGGATCAAACATCCCCAACAAATACTTATTTCATCTTTAAACTATGATTTGTTACAATGGAAAATGTAGTACAAGTAACCAATGTAACTCACTTGTATGATACAAACATAACGTCGTTTCCATTTTTTAAATGTGGAACGACCTTGAATCCAGCAATAATTACTATATTTACAATTAGTTGGGCGTTGCATAGACACTGAGATTTGTATTTCAACAGGATCATGACAATGTTTTGTATTTTGTAATTTATACCAAAGTGGGGTGCGTGGACTTGACCAAGTTATATTAAAAGTTACCTGTGGTTTTATATTTACATTGAATTGTATTAGTACAACATGGATAACATCAACCATTTTATTGACAAATTGTTAAAGAAAACTATAGTCATAAGAAAAATTGTTCAGTTAAACAAGTAACATATGGTAAGAGGAACAATGTTAGATTTTATGAAGAACACTTCTTTGTAAAGTCAGTTTTTATTATGGATTCACATCAGCTGGACATACTTTACGTATGCTTAGCTGATATTTACCTTTAGAGACGATGCTGACTAGTGTAAGAATAGATCGGAAGAAGTCATTAACTGTTTTATTGAGCCATGTTGGTTGTTGCAGACTACCTGGTTTTGTCCGCATATTAATCCCGATCAATATCTAGGGACTTTAAATGACATGGCTCAGAATCATTTAAAATCACGCATTTGCATCCATCTCTTATTTTCTTATCGACTTTGAATCCCAGTATTTTTTTAAAACTTGCCTTTCAAATCTGTCTTTCTAAACACTATTCTCAACGCTCAATCTTTTTCATTCTCAATTCTACTAGGTTATTCAGATCTCTTTTGTTGAATATCTTGTTACTTTCATCTCGTCGTGCTAACATATTATGGTAACGTAGGCCAACGCAATTGGTACAAAGCTCTACGTTGATGATGACTGACTGAGCTGGAGAATCAAAGAAAACCGAACATCGAGTTCTGTCTTAATTTTGGATACATCAGTAACAGGTTTGAGCGTATATCAGGTCTCCAGCGTGTGTTCTGTTGCGGTGTCGCGATATAAAACGTAACGACTGTCCGACACTGCCTTATTTGCAAAAGGATTTTTTTGGCTAAGATTAGTCTCCAATGAAGTATAACATAACAAAGTAATCTGTTATGTTACGCAAAAATATTCTTGTTTATTAAGTGGTTGATTTATTTATCCCTAAATTTTCCTGAATTGTTTAGTGACCAATGATGCTTGTTAGAACCGATCTACTATTCTTGCATGTTTACAAATGATCTTGAGAAAATTAAATCGTGTTTATGGTTAAGGTGATAATAGTTAGTGAATGAACCTCAGTCATCTAAACAATCATTATAATAAATATACCCTTCCAAGTTCTTTATCATCCAGTGTTAATGGCCCTGAACATTCTTTGAAAACCTTTACTTTGATAACTGGAAGAATTTGAGATGTTTGAAATTCTGCAGTTGTATTCCATCTAAAATAGTTTAATAAAAGCAAAAGGAATGAACACTTACTTCATGCTTTGATAATTCAGTTTAATATTTTTTTAAAAACACTGTTTTAGTAGATTCATATGTTGAAATATCTAAGTTACACATTGTTAAGTTTGGCTATAATTACTATTTTATACTGACAATTATGCAATAATAGTAACACTGGTTTTGTATATATTTTGTAATTTCAGAACAGATGTATAGGAATCCGTTTGATCTTTGTTTCATTTTTGCTGAATCTTGTAGGTGGATAAGACATTGAGCAGTAAACCATGATCGATTGAATTCGCTTCAACATTCACTGCCTCTTACCCTTTATGTCACATCGTTTATTGAAGTAGTAGATCGAGAAAACGGTTAGTGATAGTCAGAACTAAACATAATAACAGTTCATACAGTTACTGAATATTTGTATAAGCTGTGATATAGGCTTTCTTGTTTGCAGTTTAAATAATTCATAGTAAATGGTTGAGTCTTTAAGCCATCAAACTCATAAATAATTACTAGTATAGGGGTTGTGGAGATTGTTAAGTTTTTGATTGAGATCATGGACCGATTGATGTTAGACCACCACAATTGAAAACCTACAAGCACTGGACGGCCGTTTCGTCCCATTGTGGGACTCCCCAGCAGTGCGCACCCACGATCTCGCCCGCGGGACTCGAACCCAGGGCCTTCGGTCTCGCGCGCGAACGCTTAACCAACTGGACCACTGAGCCGGCATCCAATGGTGATAGTTTCTGACATCAACCAATTCACGAAATTGCGCGACCAACTTCCGTTGTACTGAGGTAGATACCTGTCTCTACCCGACAAGGATTAGCTCCACTGGTCACGGCTTCTCACTAGAACTCCGAGAATTCCCTCACGAAGCTAGTCACTAGTGAGCACATGTTGATTACTAGTATAGGAGTTGTGGAGATTGTTAAGATTTTGATTGAGATCATGAACCGATTGATAATAAATAATTGTAGTAATTAGCATTTCTTCATTAGTCTCACTCATTTTTTTTCGTTATCGTTTGACTTTTAGCCCTTAATTTATGAATGTGATTGCTTATCTTGCTTTCCAACATTCTGACTGAAGTTTTAGGGACACAGAAATTCATATGACCTCTCAAACACTTAAATGTAAACAGTAATCAAGTTAAAAAAAAAGTTTGTTGTTAACATCATCAATGGGACATCACCCAAATATACATTTAGGTCATCTCTAAACTGATAGTCTTCAAAAGTTATGCAAACATTCATCCCAAAGCTAATATTTTACATGGCACAAGCTCTGAGTATATTGAAAAAATGTTGATTTCATTCAATGAAAAGTCCAAATAATCAAAGATACTAACTTGAGAAGTTGTTGTTAACTAAGTCAATTTGTTAAGTTTCAATAATGTGTAGTTCATAATAATTTTATATATACACATAGTTTTAAATAATTGTTATCTGTTAGAAAAGATAAACACTTATTATTTACTTACACAGGTTTATTAACCTCTACGGATTCTGTTCTCTTCCGATCTGGTGTACTATCCAGTTCTATAGCACAATAAAGTTTCTTTGAACGTGGTAAACTTTGAATATTTCTGACTTGATGAACCAATATCTAAATGTGAATATAAAGAATTCGGAAGGAAATATCTTTGAGTTGGATAAATGAATAACATTAAAATAACATCACTTTATCATGAAATTAAAAATTTTAAATCATTGTAAAAACTTCAAAGACTCCATGAGTTAGATTATGCAAACTAGGAGTCATAGATAAAAGGCTAGTGAACTTTATTTCTAGTGGTTGGATAGTACGTTCATGTACGATGGTCCTGAGTTTGAATCCCCCGTGAGACTGTGGATGTGCACTGCTGAGGAGTTTCACACTAGAACGACACGGCCTTCCAGTCCCTCTAGGTTTTCAACAGTGGTCTAACATTCATTGATTCATGATTTCAATCAAAAACTTAATCTCCACAACTCCACACTGATACGTATCCAATGGATCGAATCCAATGGTCGTTATAATATATGTAAATTTCGAAAACTGTAGGATCATTAAATAAATTATTCTTAAATAAGTTTTAATAATTTATTAATAGCCATCAGTTGAATTAATCAGGGTTTTATTGAGTAACTAGTGATTTTAGTGTAATTTGATCCATAAATTATGATTATTTCTAAGAAATCCACCTTGCATATACATCATTTCTAAGAAGAGGCAGCTTCAAGTAATAAGGAAAATTGCCTTAAGCCAATGGACAGTAGAGTATTTATGCGTAGTAACTTTATTCACATATTACTATATCTTGGATAATTTAACATTCGTTTAGTGGTGAACTATTTGTATCCACTCAATGTTTTCCTGAAGAAAAGCGATAGAACCACAGCAGAAGGTACAACAACACGTGGATGGCTTTAAACGAATAATGTATAAATATACCATATTACTTACTTCAATTGTTGAAGAAACCTGCATAGCCTCCCTTGAAATTTCATGAGTTAGAAACATTGAAGAGGGCTGAATAACTTCACTCATTAAATGTAAATCATCTGTAATTGATAAAGATGATCTTGATGAATCCATCTCCAGTTGTCGTGACCAAAGATCAGTTACGGAACCAGTATCACGTACAGATCTGTTGCTTCTACTTGTCCCACCAGTGTGCCAATTAGATAAAATTGTTTTTATAGGATGTTTTCTTAAATGTCTATGAGCTGGATTCACACCTGTGGAATGTGTTTTAAGAGCTGGTATCGAATCTAGACGTCTCATTAATCCATTCACTCTGAGTTTTTCTTCTTCAATATACTGCATCTCCATTTCTTTATGTACCATTTTAGGAAATGAACGTTCCTTTATCAACCAAACAAACTAAGTTAGTAAACTTTTATACACCACAGCACACAAAACTAATCACAGGGAAACAAATAGAGTGTATTTTTAATGTGAATAATAAATAGTTCTATCAAGCTATTATTGTGTTTTCTTCAGAGATTGGTTACAGCACTCTATTGACACATATTTTGAAATATATAATCCGAAATTTCTTTAAATATCAGTTGGTAAAATATAGAAGGATGTGAAGAACAAGGTATATTCTAATGCTGAATATATGGAAGTCTCAACTTAAGCTTCTATATAACTTAAAGACATGTATGATAATATAACATAAATGTAACAAACATACTGTGAAGAAATGAATCAGGTGAAGATCGTACAATAAACAAATAAACGAACACAAATAATACTTAGTTGAACACATGGTACATTGAAAGAAATTCAATCAAGATAGATTCCTATCATTTGATAGAGTTCACTTTTATATTTATGCAGAATATAATCACAAATTATACCACTATCCTGTTGACGTATTGTGAAATTCCAGCACAGGTGTAATACTGACTAATGCTACGTAATTATCTTGAATTTCAGTAAAGTTTAGATTTTTCTTATCGTTGCTGGTGCTAGCTTTCCCAAAATAAAGAAATGTTCCCACATTCATCTTACAACCAATATAATGATCGTAATCAGTGTTTTATTTGATAACTATGAAGAACTTATCCAGAATGTCAGTGACCCCTTCCTAATACATGAACTGGTTTCTACCTATATTAGATATTACTTTCTCACGAGAAAATTTATACATTTTCATTTATAACTAACAAAATGAAATTTAATAAACATCACGAATAATTTACAATTTACTAAGTGCATTAAAAAACAATCAAAGAATACTGAGCTGGCACTTAGCGGTGTTAATGTCTAAGTTCAGTCAATCCATGATCTTGCACAACCCTTCACCTATTGTCCGAAGTGGATAATTGTCTCCACACGACACGGATTGGACTTCACTAGTCACAGCTTCTCACTAGAACTCCACAAAATCTGTCTTGAAGCTAGTCACTAGTGAGCACATGCGTTAGATATTAAGGCCTTTGGTTGCCGGCTCAGTGGTCTAGGGTTTAAGCGTTGGAGCGCGAGACTGAAGGTCCTCGGTTCGAGTCCCACGTGCTGGACCGTGTATTTGCACAGCTGAGTCGTTCCATACTGTGACGAAACGGTTGTCCAGTGCTTCCAGGTTTTCGACGTCGGTGTATAATAGACCGACTCATGAATTCAACTATTAAAGTTGATACGATCTCCACAGACCCTCATTCTGATAACTAAAAAGCAGTTATTTATGTAACTTTAACCACTCACTTTATACATTTTGTCAATTTGTATTAAACGTTCTGATAGTTCTCTTTTGATTTGAGACGCTTGTTCATCCATATTATCAAGCTATATATAATTTAAGAGTAGACAATATAAGAAAATGCAACAGATTTATTCATTTTAAAGTTTATTTTTACATACTACTAAATAAAATGAAAGTGAGTAATGTATGTTGGATTTATGAAATTAATAGCAGTTTATAGTTGTACAATGTTGGTTACAATAACGTGAAGGGTTAATAGTTTGTATCATAATATAACAATATAATATTCTTTCAAATATACATTTACAGATATTACCAGCAATCATGTCGAATTGAAGTAATTCCATTTTAGTTACATGTAGTCATACGTTTACAATCTAAGCTTGAAATGAGGAAAGTGTCTCATTAAACTGAACGGTTTCGGTTTTGATAAAACGGAAAGTGGTTGACAAGTTTGTCTGTCTACTTTTATGGAAGTCATATGTCTACCGGAATACTGTGATTTTGCTGACATTCAACCATAACTGGATATGATCTAAATATTCAAAACTACTTTTGAATTGATGCAAAAGTTCAAATATGTACATTAGGTGGTGATGAATGTTTGTCTGGTGAACGATCTAATTGTGAATATCGCCAACTGGAGATCGTATATATTTACCCATAACCGTCATAAATCAAAGACGAATTAAATAGTCGTGAGAAAATTTTTGATTAGATTAGATAGAAAAGTATTTTACTTGTCATCACTCGATATATTACCTTAATAGCATCAATTTTCAGAACCTAAAGGTAATATATAACCATAAATATTTACTAGAGAAATGTGTCTATTACCAATTTTGTTAACTGTTTAAATACTTGTATTTAATAGTTCTGAATGTTTGAACCATATAAAAGGCTAAATGTAAACTACTTCTAAACTACTCATGAAACTGTGAACCTAAGCTCTAAATTAGTTAAAACTTTTCGGTAAGGTGTACTTTTAATTTCGGTGTAACTAAATTTGCTTGATAGATTTCGAATCCACTTCACACAGTTTCAAATTCTGAGGTATCACAACTGAGCTATTCAGGCTGAAACTAATTTTATATTTCTTTAATCCATAGTGTTGGCAGTGTTCTGATTAGAATCAACCAGGAAATACCAGCCTCCTCTATATTTTAGGTCTCCTTTTTTATGAGTCCCTAATAGAACAAAACTTGGGTCAAGGGTTCTCTGCGACTTCCTCCAAACACCTCACATTTTAATACGGTACACTCAAAGTTAGCTCACTTGAACTTATGATGACATTACAAAATGGTGAATACGATTTGATTAGCACTAAAAAACAAACGACAAAGATGACATTGATCTCTACTTAAATATCAATCATTGTGATATAAATGTTGAAAGATAATCTATAACCAGTACAGTGTCGTTTATTTTATAGAGATTCTGAAAAGTTAGTTTCATCAACCTCAATGTTCACTGTACATATTTGCTATATGGTCATAAATATTTGTTTAGAAGATATTAACATAGGTGTGTACATGTCGCCAACTATCATTTAGATAAACTCGTAAATAACAATGAAGCTCACACTTTCCCATTGGATATTTTCATTCCAAGACTTCAATTAATTAAGATAAAATTAAATTACATCTCTTGTTCAGTTTGTTTAAACTATTTGACTTCTTTAGCACTTAAGATCTTTTCAAAACTTATTTCTTCCTCAACAATCATTATATTCATATATGAAGTTATGCTATCAAACTACTTAAAACAGATATTCTTTAAAAGCAATTACATAGATTCAACTTACTTGACATGCATTATATAAAATTTGATGTTCATACTTTTCAATGGTTAAAGTACGCATTAATAATTCATATAATTGTTCATTAGATAATGCTATTGGTTCTGGTTGTGGAACAGCTAATTTCATTGCTTCAGGACATGGTCCTTCACCACCACGACATATTTGATCAAATTTAATTTTCCATGCACTTAATACACTTTCTTTAGATAAACCTTCAACTGGTTGAATACCTTGAAACTGATAAAAAATAATGAAGTTTTACCAAAAAGTTTATATAATAACTAATTCTTTTTTCAAATTAACAATCAAAAAGACATCTTGTTAGTCTAGCTAATTAAGGATTGATTTGGTAAACATATTTAATTGGCTTCATAGAAGTCAAGTGAGATATAGGAACAAGCATTAGACTGATAGCTGAACTTCAAACTTATCATAGGTTTTCATTTAAGATTTATTCACTATTCCAAGTGAATATTTATGAGAAGTTTTCGCACGTTGGTATTAGATTTATTACTGAAATTCAAGATACTCGATCCGTCCTTTTTGAAATTTGTTAGTTGGAAGTATTTGGATCCCTGTATTGATAAGACTCAGATCTAGTGTCCATTGTTCTAAACATCAGTGTGTTATTGACTAAGCCACTGAGTCCACACACCCAAAATCTTTTTTTAGCAACCAGATATTTCTTCAGAACAAACATTTTCCCGTAAAAACTGATCAAATACAGTTGTGAACGTCAGAAATGGATATTCACAAATCCTATAACCCGGTACCTGACAACTAAGAATTCAAGAAGCTTTGACTGATAATGCCGCATCTTAAACTACGTAGTTAATTATATGATATTCCTAAGTGTTTCTAAGAATCGTTCATAAAGAATAAGTTTCAGCCTGCTCAATTCAATATCACACGTATTTTAAAAATACTTTCTGTAAACATTTTTGTATTGCAGTCTTAAACCTCAATGAGAAGATACAAGCCAAACAATACCAAGTGAATTTTTTTATTCCATTACATTTCTTAGCCAAATATATTTAATATTTGAAGGACTTTTTAGTAGAAAAATACATTTTTGATTTTAACAGTTGAATTCATGAGTCGATGTAAGCTAGATCATCACTAAAAACCTGGATGCACTGGATGGCTGTTTCATCCTAGTATAAGACTATTTACCAGTGCGTATCCACGATCCCGGATTCGGGACTCGAACCAAAGACTTTCGGTCTAGCGTGCGAACGCTTATTTTATATGGAATTTGAAAACAATTCAAATACCTAAGTGTAATCAGTTAACTAACAGCTCGGTAGTTAATTATTTTGTCTGAATATTTCCTAGTACTGTTAGATAACTGTTAATATAAAAGCTTTGTCAAGAAGAACTCCGCACACTCTAATTAGTCTTTAAATCATCGACTTCCAATGTCCTCATAGTTTCGTGTCACCAATCAATGTACAGTAATTCTCGCTTTTATTACAGAATTTCAAATGTATTTAAAATTTTACATCAGATATCAGTATACATGATACTATTAGTTAAATAATGCTTTTTTAAAATTATTTCTGTCTGTATATATTGTTAAATGTTAGTATGCTAACTTCTCAGTTTATTTAGTAATGATTCTCTAAATAAGTTGATATTTTCCAATCAAAAAGGCTAAGCATTCGCGCGCAAGACTGAAGGTCCTGGGTTCGAATATCTCATGCGAGATCGTCGATGCACACTACTGAGGAGTCCCATACTAGAACAAAACGGTCAGGTTTTCAATGGTGATCTATCGACATAAGTAGAATACACCACAATACCAACAAGTATGGTTGAAAAGTATAAGTTATTAAAGAAGCCTCTTATTTTATCCTTTCAACATTAAAATAAATGCTACTGACTAAAATACTTAACACTTAATTAAGTAGAATAATATAAACTTTTCCATAAATTACTTACTTGTTTTTCAATATTTGCAATAAAAATTTCTCGAATATCATACATTGAACAACTTCCTGATTTAACCATATTTAAAAGACGATCACTATTAAGAACAGCTTCAAAAAATTCATTGACAGCAGTATGAAATGCATCATCACTACTAATTGCTAACTCTCCACGTAAATACAACTTAAACAAAGAAAACATAAATTCACATAAATCACTGAAACCTTGAAAAGACTTAAAAGGCTTGGTTACTTGATATATGTATATAAGAAACAATACACTAAAAAAAATTTTTTTAAGAACATGCATAATGTAAAGATCACAATGAAATAATAATGCTATGACGCTGATGATTACCATTGTTTATTTAACCTTGCTCTCACCATGTATAACAAGTTTATTATCAGTATTGTTATCATCCTGTAAAAATAAGTATATGTATTTGCGATTGTACAGCTTTGAAAATGAATTCGACGAAAAGAGAACACTTCGCTGAACTAATCTTTCTTATTTAATGTTTTAATGGGTGCATTCCGTTTAATACTATTTTTCATGTTTTCGAAAGATATTCCATTAGACTTTTAACAGTATTAATCTTAAAAGAAGAACTACTATTTACGTTTTCAAGACACTAATGTTTCAATGGAATCTCATCCAAAATATTTCACTTTCTTTGCATTACTTAGAATTAAAGAATTTTTTTAGATGGTGAAGATTTGTAGCTCAGGTGGATGATTTTGATGGAGTTTTGTTCTCTGAGCTGGATGGTTTGGTCCAATAGTTCAATAGTTGAGATCATGAGTCAATTGAAGCTAGACCACCATGGAAAACCTGGAAGCACTGGACGCCCGTTTCGTTCTATTGCGGGACTCCTCATCAGTGCGCATCCACGATCCTGCCTCGCTGGATTCGAACCCAGGACCTATCAGTCTCGCACGGGAGCGCTTGACCACTAGATCACTGAGCCGGCATCCAACGGTGTTAATGTTCAAGTTCAACTGATCTTCGAAATTGAGCGACATATCCATCATTGTCACTAGTGAGTTACTATCTCACAACTGACCCGGTTAAACTCCACTGGTCACTGCTTCTCACTAGAACTCCAGGTTATATCTCTTAAAGCCAGTCCCTAGTGAGCATATGTTGATTAGTATCAGAAGGGATTTTGCGGAGATTGTAGTAATTCCAACAATTGAGATCATGAGTCAACTGAGGCTAGAGTTAGATTTTATTCAATTTGAATATATGATAGTTTCAACTTATGTGAAACACTAAAGAGAAGGAACGTATTTGTGAAATCTACATATTTAGTATATTTTTAGTCGTTTATACTTCAAATGACCCAAACGTCCCAAATAGGACGAAATGCGATTTACTTGGTAAAATAGAAAAACCATACTATAATACCTAATTTGCAAAATGTTCAGTAATTGTCTCGGACTTCATTGTTTTTTTTTGAATTTCTATACTAATTGCTTTCTATTTCTGTTCTTCCTTTCTTGATCTTCCCAATCTTCTGCTGCCAGACATTACATTCCTGACTCGCGTTATATACTACTTATGTCAATATAAGTAGCACGCACCACAATGGTACAATCAACAAACCATTATATCATGGTAAGATAAGCAAATACAAATAATATCACAAAGGATTTTTCACTGAATAAACTATAGTATGCTGAAAAACCAAGAGGATAAATTATATCCAGCTTAATAAAACATAATTCAAATTGTTTGAATGGTAACATTTCTAGACTATTCTGAATGACGAAGAAATTATAAAAGCAAATAACACTTGATCTGTCAGTGTAAACTTAATTGTTACTCAAGCAAGTTGTTAACACAAATCAGAAATAGAATTAATAAACAATAACCTACCTGAAAACGTTCCTTCAAAATATTTAAATAATCTTTTGTTACTCGTAGATATCTTCTATTTTGACCAGTAGTATTGGCGTTAAGAAGTGGATAGGCAATACATCGAATAGCTAGAACATATCTTGAACGTGAAAAACAATTTCTTATAACTGGTAAAGTTTATTGTGAAAAATTTTATATAGTATAAAGGTTATTTTTATGAAAAATCATAACATGTTTCCTGTTGACTACTTCTAACAGCCACCTTACATCTCAACATAGTATACATGACGTCGAATCACCTAGACTAGTGACTACGTTGCAACTTGATCGATAGAATTTGATCATCAGGAAGAAGGACCTGACAAACATGACATTGGTCACAATCCAATGATCACTCAATTGTAAATGTATCTTAATCCTACAGGAGGTCAGTTGCGGCCCAGATAGCTCATTGATAACGTCTCTGACTGTGAAGTTGGATGACATGGGGTCGAATCCACAGGGAAGATCAGTTCCCTCAATATTACAGGTACACCTTGTTGATGAGTACCGAATAGCACGAAAACTATGTCCAGGGCTTTCTGTCGACGACCTCAAACCACCACTTTACATATTCAGTCATACCTAATGTGCAACCTGGTATAGATTTGCATTACAACAAGTTACTACCTGCCTTAACACAATCAAACAAAGTTGATAAAATAAATAGAGAATAAGCAAAAGTGGTCCGAACGATCTGAAAACAAGGAGCAAATTAATGCACAAGAAGTATGAAACAATATTGAATGTGAAACTGTAGTGATAGACAATGTAATAATCTATAACAAAACCATGTCACTTAATATTTCTGACCACCGATTATGATTAACATGTGAACATCAACAAGAAAAGAATAATTAATATCAGATGGGTTTTGCGGATATTATAGTAATTTCAATGCTTAAGATCATGAGTCAATTGAAGCTAGACCACCATGGAAAACCAGGAAGCACTAGAAGGCCGTTTCGTGTTATTGTGGGACTCCTTAGCAGTGTGCATCCACGATCCCGCACCCTGCGAGATTCGAACTCAGAACCTATCAGTCTTGCGCGAGAGCGCTTGATCACTAGACCACTGAGCCGGCATCCAACAGTGTTAATATTTAAACTCAACTGATCCACAAAATTGAGCGACACGCGCGCGAGCGCAAAACCAGTAGGTCCTGGGTTCGAATGTCGCAAGGGGCAAGGTCGTGAATGCGCACTGCTGAGGAGTCCCACGGTAGGACGAAACGACCGTCTAGTGCTTACAGGTTTTCCATGGTGGTCTAGCTTCAACTGACTCATGATCTTAACCATTGAAAAGAATAATTTTTTAACTTGGCTCAGAGATTTGTTAAAAGGTAAACAAACGTTTTTCCATCCTATCCAATTCATATCTATCACTTAAGGATAATTTAATTACCTACGTTTAAGGTAAAACGTTTTCAAGCAAGAAAGTAAATTTATATACACTCTGAAATGGATATTTAAAATTTTCGATTCCTTAACAAGTAACATATCAGGCAATAATTGATTTTAATAATTAAATTATCATTTCATTGACATTTAGTTGACCTACATATTCAATTGTTTATTACTTTAAATGACTTCTAATCATTCATATTCTTATGTTTATCATTTAGTGTAGAATTATGTTAATTTATTACTATTATGATAAATCTATTCATATGGCTAATATTCTTATCTTTGATCATTGTTCTTTTGATTGTTTGATTAAATAATTCAGTCGTATAAACAGTTATCACTTAGTTACATCATACTATTGTATATTCTCAATTGATCAATACTTTAATCATTTATTTTACCCATTTTAATTACTTGGTCATCATAATCACAATCATACAAACTTCTTTTAAAAATAAAAAAAAACAGGGTTCTAATCTACTATCTGATAGTTAAATTATTTCAAGTCAGTAGTTAAATTCGATAATCACTTTCCTCATGAATCAACATTGTCTAGCTATCTATTAAGAATCATGTTGAACTGTTTAGTATTAGTATATTTACATCTCATCAGTATACTTCATTATGTCGTGAATTGATTAAAATTTGAATAAAAAATGGAACATTTAATCATTATGCTCTTGATAAGAGACTTCAAGATTCTATTTTATTTGAGATCATGAATGGATCATTGTTAGACCACTATTAAAAGCTTGAAACCATTAGATGACCGTTTCGTTCTACTATGGAATTCTTCGGTAGTACGCATCCACGATTAGAACCCAGGACATTCGGTTTGGCGTGCGAGCGCTTAACATCTAGACCACTGGACCGGCATACAACGGTGTTGATGTTTAATTTCAACCAATCGACGAAATTGCGTGACTATTTTTCATTGTCTTTGGTAGGTAACTGTCTCAATAGTGGTCTAACATTGATCAACTCATGATCTCAATCAAAAACTCAACAATCTCCACAACCCCATACTGATGATTCCAATTTACATTTGACATATATTGTTATATTGTTATGGCTACATGGCTATACTACGGAGTCATCAACTAAAGTGAAACACCTGTACAGTACTCTTTAGTTTCATGTGAATTCTATAAATAGCTTGAATAACTTTTTGACCGATGCTCTAGCAGAATTTCAAGCTGTCTGTTAACAACCGTAAAAGCATACAGTAAAGTCCATGTCCAAAACTACAAAGATAATTAGTCAAACTATTAAATCACACTTAAAGGTGTCTCCATAGTTCATTTATTAAGTTATACGAGCCATCAAGGTAGAGTAACAATTTTGTTCATTTCTTATTTATTCTCATCTAATAGAGCACATCAAAATAGTAGTTGTGCACTTTGCTAAACATTTCCAATAATTACTGAACTAATAGTTTTCTCTGATTTACTCTCTAATAGCACTGTTGAACTAAACCAACCATGATTCATATTTCATTCATCTGTTTATTCTCATTTAATATTTTAATTCATAGTATAGGTAGGCTAAAAATGGTAAATAGATATCAGAATAGAATAAAAAGTAATATCAGTTACAATTAATACATATGAAAAGAAAGGAACATGAACTAATTCAGAACTGTTGCAAGGGGAGGGATAAATGATGAACATCTCAGAACAATGCACAAACTTGAGCTGGTTAATGTTTATAAATGTTATCTTTCAAAAATGTACAATTTACTTCCTTTTCCATTGTATAGTGTATTATTTTTATTATCCTATTCATTTGTCATTTATGTTTAGGTCATGAAAATGCTTGGATTATTCTGTACAAGAATAGATAATAAGAACATCAAAATAGTTGGTTTTATCCTTTTTTCCCGCCATGTTCCTTTTCAAACTTTTCAAAATTGACTACAGTATAGGTTACAAGATTCAAATGGTGAATTCAAGTCTCCATGTTAGTTTTGTTGATTTTTTTTGTTGACAAAGTCAAATTCAACTTTGAAACTGATCCACCATTTCCTCTTCGTTACATTAAAAGTTTTATTTGGCAATATCAGATATAAATGTAATGTATAAAATCTTGTTCTGATATGTGCGCTACAGTTTTAAGTTGTCGTATTTGCCTTACCTAAATATGTTTTCAGCATAATATGTAAGTCTTTTGTTTAAAACCGATCAACTCGAAGTCATATCAAGTAACTTAGTGTAGTTATTCGAATGGACTGTTTAGCTGATTCATTTCATCCAACATTAAGAAATGAAATATATACAATATTCACTTTCATTTAATGACCAGTTTAGCCAATTCTAATATTTTCTTGGTCAGAGACTAATATGGAACGCTTCACGATTTTGTGTGTCATCCTTGCGCAGGGACCATGCTAATCTTCTCTGTATCTTTCCAATTTTAACATATGTACTGCGGAATCGAGTATGTTTCAAATTCTGTATAATTCTAATATTGTTTGCTCGTATACAAGTAGATCAGTAGAAAGCTAGAGGCGATCAAACCAAAACGTAGCATCAGATTATGAAGTCATTCATTGTTAGTCTAAGGCATGTACGTAAGTTTAGATAACCAGGTTGGAGTCCGGACATTTATCGTAATCAATATTTCGAGATGTTAAATGACATGGTTCAGAATCTCTCGCAATGACGCAGATAGATTCACTCTTTGTCTTCAATTTGATATGGAGCTTTAAATTTGTTTCATACTTTTTATTCGGTGAATTTATTCCTTGTTCTCCGATCATATTGTCTGTCTAATATTTTTATTACCACTGATACTGTTGATACTTCTGCTATAGTGGCACGTCAACACGCTGATTTAGTGTGGTTTAGGATTTAGTATTAGGGTTTATGTATGTACACTCAGACCCTAATTCTTCCTGCAAATCATTAACCTAAATAATAACAGTTAATATATTAACCCTGAATAAAAATGTTTGCTTTCTTCAGTTTAAGTGTATCATCAGTGGTCAATAAGGATTGTCCCACAAATATATTATAGAAAATAACAATACTTTTAAAGATTTAAAATAAATTTAACTTACAATTGTAAACGTTTATTGTGCATTTCCTCTTCTGGATCACTGATTACTAATGACGGTGGAGGTGGTGCAAAATGTTGTAAATTTGCATTCTTATTTATTCCCATTTGTTTGTTCCACTTCGACTTGGTCACTTGGCTAGCACATAAAGGAGCAGAACGAACAGAATTTGAGGCAGATTGTAATTGTCCAGCTTCTGTTGACAAAGTACCACCAGAACATCCTGTTCCAGCTGATGGCTGCCTGTGGAGTAATGATTTCAGAGCATGCTGACGACCCGAACTTAATGATATCCCAGCAGATACAGAATTTGTGCTACTACTCATAAGTGATGTCAAATCTGGTGAGATATGTTGTTCAGATGACCAACAACTACTACCAACAGGACTAAGTCGTGCTCCTAACGAGGAAGCTTCCAAAGGACTCTCAAAGCTTACACTGAAATGTGTTGAGGTAGTAACAGGCACACTTGTATCTTGAGGAGCTACCCCAGTATTCAGTGTAAAATCCATCTTTGATGATTCTGTAACTTTACTAACACAATCTCTTAAACGTGGACGCCGTTGGGCATCGATAAATGGGCTATGAACATTAGAGATTTGATCATATTGCATTTGTTTCCATCCTATGGCCAAACTTTGATCAGTTGTCTTATACTTTAGATTAATCTTGTCATTTGGTGGTAATGGTTCGGAGTTCAGTAGGTTGTTAACTTGTGGCTTAGATACCCGGTCAATCTTATGAATGCTATTTTTAAGCAAAAAATAATAAGTTAAAATATTAGTCTATTGCAAGATACTGTGAATAAAATATTATCAGTAGATTTACGAACAATTATTTTGAGTTGATCATTCAATCACAAACCTTTTAAAAACATGTATTTTTCACAAAATTTAATATCTATAGTGATACAGGAAATAGGGAATTTACTTGGAATAGTTGTGTAAGTTAATATCATCTATAATATTGGTTTGTATCTCACTGCATCAACTTTAAAACGCTTCAAATTACTGTCATAAAAAGAACTTACTGTAGGTCAAACAGAATTCAAGGTAAAGGAAATAATGTCTCGACATACAAGAATAAACTGAAAATCGTGCATGGAGGATAAGTGACAAACTCGTTCGAGGTAAAGACCGGTGTCAGGCAAGGTTGCTCACTCTCACCCTTTCTCTTTCTCCTGGTGATCAACTGGATTATGAAGATGTCAACATATGAGGGGAAGCATGGGATACAGTGGACAGCTAGAATGCAGTTCGATGATCTAAACTTCGCAGATGATCTGTCTCTTCTATCGCACACGCAAAAACAAATGCAGGAGAAGACGAACAGTGTGATAGCAGCCTTAACAGCAGTAGGTCTCGACATATACAAAGGGAAAAGCAAGGTTCTCTGATACAAAACAGCATGCAACAATCGAATCACACTTGACGGAGATGATTTGGAAGATGTAAAAACCTTTACATATTTGGACAGCATCATTGATGAACACTGTGGATCTGATGCAGATGTGAAGGCGTAGATCGGCAAAGCAAAAGTAGCATATTTACAACTGAAGAACATCTGGAACTCAATACAACTGTCAGCCAACACCAAGGTCAGGATTTTCAATACAAATGTCAAGACAGTTCTACTGTATGGGGCGGAAACCTGGAGAATTACGAAAGCCATCTCCCAGAAGATACAAGTGTTTATTAACAGTTGTCTACACAAAATACTTCGGATCCGTTTGCCAAACACTATCAGCAACAACCTACTATAGGAAAGAACAAACCAGATCCCAGTGGAAGAAATTAGGAAGAAGCGCTGGAAGTGGATAGGACACACATTGAGGTAAGCACGGAACTGTGTCACAAGACAAGCCCTCACATGAAATCCTCAAGGTCAAAGGAAAAGAGGAATATCAAAGAACACATCATGCCGAGAAATGGGAACAGACGCGAGAAAAATGAACAAAATTTGAACAGAACTGGAATGGAAGGCCCAGGACAGAGCGGGTTGGAGAATGCTGTTCGACGGCCTACGCTTCTTTGGGGGTAACTGGCGAAAGTAGGTAAGTAATACAAGAATAAAACTTAACAAAACGACGATTATTCAGATTTGTTGGTAATATCTGCTTTTGAAAAATTCCACATTGTAAAATTTGTTGTGTATTAAATAGAGCCATGTTTATTATTGATATTCACTTAGGATATATTCAAAGAAAAGGTTATCTGTTCTAAAAATTAACCTTGAACTTTGATCAATGAATTATTGGTGTTAAATTTGGAACCAGTGTTGCTCAGACTCCATCTCTCAAAAATGATGGTGTCTTATTTTATTCTCAAAAATGCGACTAATCAGAGCAAAAGATACGAGAATACCTTAAGTTAAACGTTCTGCTTAAAATCTAATTTTAATTTCACATTTAATCGAATTAAGAAGATCTACCTATTCACCTTTCATATTCTCATTTATTCAAACAGGTTAAGAAAAGTACTTCTTAGTCGGATTTTTAAATGACAACTTATTTTAAACTTTCAAGTTACTTCACTTCTTCAACTTATTTCAGTAGCATAATACATGTTTATTGTATTCTACTTTGTGGTTGCATCACTTAGTTAGTCGTTGGTTAACGAGGATAAACCATGATGTAATTAAATTCAAATATACATCTATATGTTAACCAGTAATCGCCTACCTTTGATAAATAAGCTTGCTTTTTTAGTCAAGTTTATTTTCCATATAGATCATAAGGACTACATATTTTGTCTATTGATAGATATCTCAAATGAACCTACTTATTTCATTTTATTGATTTAAAATTAACGCGCTTATTGTAAAACATAAGTGTTCTTGGTTTGATCCATAGTGTATTTGTTAGTGCACACTGTTAAAGAGTCTAATACCAGGATTATGTAGGTATACAGTTTTGTTATCCAATAATTCTAAAAATTATGTCAGTTCCTTATGAACACTAACACACTTTCACAGTTCGTCCAAACTAGTAGTTCATGTAATATAGTTCATTAAGATTAAAGACCTGAAATTCTACCGATAACTTCAAATCAGCACAATTTCTACTCAACTACTTATCATCTTTTATAATTATGACTTCATTACAAGTCTTGATAAACATTTATGTCTGAAATACATGGTTCATACAGCGGGAGTTGAAATTGCGTTCTGGACTCAACAGGCAGGGCATGGCAAGAAGAGTCAATAAGGACTCAGAATTAACTCTAGGCTTGTTAACGCGTTATTGGTTTCATACAGGGCCAGAATCGTATAAGTTGGTGTTTTGATCGGCGATTTAGTCGCGTGATAATTGACAGGGCTATAAGAACATAACACTGACCATAAAACAGTATACAAAAAATAATCTGGTATTCTTCTTTCCTTGTTTTCGCTCAAGTAATTCTCAGTCCAAGCAGTGCAGATACTGCACACAGAATGTTCATTTCCATTACTATATCAGGAAGCCAAATAATAGTAGTACCGTCATTATTTGTCATACACCACCTTGAAGAATAAACTGTATATTAGTTGAATCGGGTTTATGGGGAATAAATTCTTCTTTATTTTGCTGCTGACTGTAAATGTATTCACTAGTTCATTCGTCGAATAGAAATTAACCGACACACTTCAAAAAACTACCAAAATACAAATCATCACAGGAGTATGACAAAACATTTTAGAAATTGTAGCAACCAATTAGTAATTTAGGCGTATTATAATTCAACTTTCATCTGATATATGAATATGGACATGCGAAATACATTAGAAACAGGTTCAAAGTGGCAAGGTTATGTAAGCCATCATTTCACTTTAATCTCACCATACCAAAACAGATTCTACTTGAAGGAGCTGTTTAAAGTACACTTCATCAACACTTAAAACTCGTTAGAAAGAAATATCTATGCCGAAAGTCTTCATGCAGATCAATCACATAATAAAAAATACATATATATTGATAGATAATCCCTCAATAATTTCCTTGACTCAGCACGACCCGGTTATCAATTGTGAGTTTCAATATTGGAATTGATATCGTACCTCTAAAGTTCCAGAAGTAAAAGAAATTTCAGTTAAGTGTAATCTTTGTAAGAGTCTAAAATCCGTAGAACTATGTCAAGAAGTCATTAAAGAGTATTTCAAAATAAACTAAATCGATTATTTTAAATCAATATTTAATTAAAACCGGTATTACAATAGTCTTTCTATTTCGACCAATGAGGAGGAATTAAAATAAAATTCGAATAATATTATAAACTTTTTTAAAGTATAACAAGTGAATGTACCGACAAATTATCAATGGGGACTAAGGACATTATTCCCGGAATCAAGTTCCAGGCAAAGTAGACAAATAATCAACAAAATGTTACTCGGGCAGAAACAGGTGTCTACCTCAGTACAATGGAAGATGGTCGTGCAATTTCGTGGATTGGTTGGGGTTAGACATTAACACCGTTGGGTGCCAGCTCAGTGGTCTAGTTGGTTAAGCGCCTGGCGCGAGACTGATAGGTTCTGAATTCAAATCTCGTGGGGTGCGGGATCGTGGATGAGCACTGCTGAGGAGTCCCATACTAGGACGAAACGGCCGTCCAGTGCTTCCGGGTTTTCCATGGTGGTCTAGCTTCAATTGACTCATGATTTCAATCAAAAACTTAACAATCTCCACAACCTCTAAACTGATTTAAATAAATGTTGGTTCACACTGCTTATGTGATTACTTATGCTACTATCCGACTAACCCAAACTGAAGTAAATGAGTGTAGAATTTAAAACTGTTATAGAAAAATTGAATAGAGTGCTACAACCAATGATCTCTTCTTTCATATCCGGGCTTCTATAGTTGATAACCTTAAACTAATAATAGTAAAAGTGGATATGATATTAACTGTTATGATACATATACATTCAACCAACTTATTATGTAATGGAAGTTTCCCCTATTTACAAAAAAGTCATTTATTATTACGCAATAAATTTGTTTTATATTCTATAAGTTCGTTGAATATTGATCAGCTGTAAACTACGCAAGATGTAATATATAATAAAGTTTAATCTGATCAAAAAATTGACTAGAATTCATCAATTATATTCACCCATGATCATTGTCAGGATAGTCTAAGGCATGAGATCATGTTTAGATTTAGTGTGATATATATATTCAGTATATTGATTGCATTACTTTTAATTCAATGTAATATGTGTTTAATATAACATGAATTATTCATTTGTTGTAATTCAGTATGAAATTCATCCACTATTACTTGTGTGTGATGTTCAGTAACTAATCATCATCACATACCAGTGGAATCTTAATGTTTTTATAGGTTTAATAAAATCTTGATTTATAAGCTAAGATGGATGGTAGCTATTAGTGGAATCCAGGAGGCGAGTTTCGTCCTATTTGGGATTCGTTGGCTGGATGTACCTGAATCCCAGAGTTGATGTTCACTCTGGGACTCGGACCCCATTGCACAGGCTAGTGGTTATCTAGATTCAGTAGTTAAGTGGATAACACGACGATGTTTGAAACAAACGGTACTGGCTTCGTGTCCCGAAGTAAACATCAACTCTGGGATGCAGGTACATCTAGATAACGAGTACCAAATAGGACGAAACGCGCGTCCTGGATTTCACTGTTAGCCACCATCATCTTAGCTTATAATGCTTGGGACTTAAGGCAATATCAAGGCAATCCGAACAGAACGCACACACGCCAATCAGATACTGACCAATTACAGTCCTAAACGTCGGTA